TTAGTGTTAGTTTGCTAACGTAATGCGGCCTCGCGTATTCACCTGTCGCGCGATGAGGCGATGTGCAGGGCGGTGTTTCCGTTTCCGGTGCGCGCGTTGATGTCAGCCCCGCAGTCGGCCAGCAGCCGAATGCTTTTGTAGTTGCCAGTCGTAGCGGCGTAGTGCAGCGGGCGGAGACCTATTCCCACACACACAAAAAAAGAACAAAACATTCGTTAAATCCTCAAAAATAATGATTACTCCGGGGAGTATTTGATTTACTAGGAGAAATGTTCCAGACATCGTGCTGTCACGTGTAGCCAATACGATGTCTAGAGACAGGAAGTTTTTTTTAAGTTAAATTGATTTATTGTTGATGATTACGTACTTAAATTTTTATTAACAGAAACAGCAACTAATACTGATTATTCAAAAATAATTATTACTCCGGGGAGTATTTGACGTACTAGGAGAAATGTTCTAGACATCGTGCTGACACGTGTAGCCAATACGATGTCTAGAAACAGGAAGTTTTTTTTAGTTTATTGATTTATTGTTGATGAGTACGTAGTTAATTTTTTATTAACAGAAACAGCAACTCAGTGCAACGGATCCTAGATACTCTTGGTTATCAGAGGGGCTTCCAGAGAAATAACGTGCTTTAACTTTTGTTTAAAGATGTAGGCCGCTTCAGCCACTCTCTGTACATGGCCTTCGTTTTCGGTTTAAATAAGCGTTTTACTTTATAACCAAAATTTACGCATTTTTTTTCTAATATAACCTAACACCTATAGATGTTGTAGAATTGTTTATGACATGGATCGATTTCCCAGTGAAGGTATCCATCGTACTCTTATCTACTTCTTTCTACCTATCCAAAAATAAATCAACAGTGGTGATCTGGGCTGTCGGTGACGCCCCCGTCGAAGCGTGAGTTGACCGACGTTCGGGACCATCCTGTCGTGGTCTTCCTCAGGATGGTAATCGCCCAGTGATGGTCAGACGCTCGTGTTTAATACCCGCTGACAATCAGGCGGCACACAGACCTGGGAAGACACGACAGGATGGTTCGAACGTCGCACTCAAGCTTCCGACGCGGCCGCTCACCCGGACAGCCCAGATTACCCCATGACCGGTCGCGAAGCCTACTGCGCTTCACAAAATTAAATAACAGTCGCGGAGAAATTGAATGGAATCCGCGTTTGTCGTCTGTCGCTCGGGGTCGGCGTGCAGTCGAGCAGCAGGGCGCACGAGGCGGCCGGGGGGGGCGG